ATATATTGTATTATGGGAATGTGGATTTAGGAATTAGTAATAAAGTGAATACCATTGCAAGCTGGAAAGGAAGCTGAAAATCCTTAGGATAATAAAAGCAAATAGTCAGTGGTATTAATCAAGGAACTGGTATCCATCCAACCCGCGACCTGGGACACAACGGTCAGATGTTATACCTCACCGGGACCATTTTCTCCACCAGGCGATAAGTACCCCCCCCCCCAACATAAAGTTGAACAAATAAACATATATAATAGTATGAAGATACTGTATACAGATTATATATACATACATATAATATTATAAATATATTCATATAATATTATAAATAGTAAAACTACTAAAGTCAACAAGGGATAAATTGACAATAAATCACAAATAGGGGGAACAGACAACCTCTACACCACAAACCCAACATGGAGACGTGTGACAGTTGATTTAAACCACTTCGGAAGAGTGTTGTAGGAATTGTATGTAACATTTGTAACATAAGATTTCACCTGAGTTGTACAGGATTACCTACACATTATGCAAACAGACAAGGTAACTACTGGATCTGTCACAATGATAAACAGATGTGGGAAAACATCACCAAACTTATGAATGACATTCCTGAAGTACATAGGCTAAAATTCACACAATAGCTTCCAGAAATGTATGCAGAGTATGTACAGACAGCAACGAACACTGAACACAACCCAGGGACTGAGAGTTTAGAGAGCCAAATTAGCAATGTAGAAAGACATTATGTTGAGGTACACAAAAATGAAGGCAATATTGAAGAGCAAACTGGTAATAGGAGTAAGGAGAGAAAAAATGAGAAGGACGAGAACACAAATGAGAAAGACGATGGCAACAAAGAGAAAGATAAGGGCAATACCGAGAAAGAATGCGGAAACGAGAAAGTTGGAACAAAAAAGAGGTAGCCAAGTCGTGCACGGGTACAAACAATAAGAATACAAGCACAGATGAAAGCACAGATTCTATTGCAAACACAATGATACCAAAACGAACGATGTAGCACGAGAAATAGGGTGAGAAAACTGAAATGAGTATATACATTTTACTGATTTTGCGCGCTCACGGGTAACTTTGCCGACTTTAGTTGTTATAGTGTACTTTGTTATTGGTATTTTTTTATATATATTGCGGTTGTTATTGTGTATATTTATATTTCTATTTAGAGCATTTTATTGCAAATAATTTGATACCATAATGTTGCACAAAAATGTCTGTTACCAAACTGTGTGTGTTTGTCTGGTGTATTAAGTGTAGCGGGTGTGGCAATGAGTGTGCTCTAGCGGGTAAGGCTCCGGCGACTTTAGGGATCGTTGCGGGTTATGCATCCCCATGTTGTCTAATTTATATGCATATGTCTGTGTAGGAAATTTTATTGCGATCACTGTGATACAAAAAAAGAATGATGTCAAACAAGTTTGGACTTGATAAACCTGAAAAGAGTAGCAACATGTTCACGCTGTTTGGCGTACACAGCTAACAAACGACTTAGTTTTTTTTATATGGTGCCGGCATCACGTTAGCTTTGGTGACATGTTATACGTATGTTCCTCTAGAACATTTCATTGAGAACACATTGATACCAAAATGAAACACATTCTAGTTTAGTTCATTTATTATGCACCCCATACCCATCTTGTGGGCGGTAGTGGAAAGGGTTACACATAATGGGCTCAGGGACTGAACCCCACAATTCATTTAGCTAAGCAAGTTACAATCGAAACACGTACAGGCATACCTCAGTTTAAAAGTTTAATTGGTTCCTGGAGACGCCTCGTATTCCGAAAACTCGCATTCCGAAGCTAATTTCCCCATAAGAAATAAAGGGAAATGAATTAATCCGTTCCTGACTACCCAAAAAACCCCACATCAAACTAAATTTTTATACCTAATTCATCTAAATAAACCTACAAAACTATGTTCAAGTTATTACTTACCTTGCTGTTGAATGCTGTTGGTGTATGGAAGATGGTGAGGAGGAGGAGGAGGGAGGAGGAGAGGTGTTACTGTTTGGAAGGGGAGTCTCCTTCCATTATCACATCAGGCAGTGAGGACTTCACTGGTATGCACACACTGGCACATTTTGCCTGCATACCACTAGGACTTGCTTGTTTTACTAAGAATCTGTCTAAAGACACTTGTTTTTCCCTACATTTTAACACTTGTCTGTAGTAAGACATCACATTATCATTTAAAAGATCAATGCAACTGCCTGCTACAGCTTTATCTGGGTGAGTTTTTTCAACAAAACTTTGCAGTTCTTCCCATACTTCACACATTTTCTTAATCAAGAAGGGACATCCTCTACTGCCTCTACTCACAGCTATTTTCTTAGGTTGAACTTTACCAATGGCTTTCTTGAGACCCATGGCGAGATATATAATGACAACTTTTATGCTCAAATGGCCAAAAAAACGATAAAAAACTGTAAATCCTTGTGAAGAATTCAAGTGGGATAGTCACTGGTAAACTGAGGCGCGATCGCCATGCCACCACGCGCCAGTCGGCCTGTACATGTATCAACAAACTCGCGTTCCGAGGTAACCCTCGCCTTCCGAGACATATTTTCCGAGGAAATCCTGCTCGTCTTCCGAAAAACTCGCATACAGGGACACTCGCATTCCGAGGTACCACTGTACATCGAAAATCACAGTCAAAAACATGAAAAAAAGAGTATAAACATTTCAGTAGGGGTGGAGCCGATGTGCAGTTGGGCGTGCGGTAGTGGGTAACCCTTGGGCAACTTCCCACTATCTTGCGGGTGGGGTGCGCCCATGTTTTGTACTTTATTTTCATATGCGTGTGTGTATGGAATTTTATTGCGATCAGTGATACCAAAATTAACGGCGTAGAACAATTCTGGGGTTGACAAACCTGAGAAAAGCAAAACATTTCATCGTTGTTTGGTGCTCGTGGCTAACGATCGCCATAGTTTTTTATTTGATGCGGGTCTCACGTCGGCTTTGGTGAAATTTTATATATATATATATATATATATATATATATATATATATATATATATATATATATATATATATATATATATATATATATATATATATATATATATATATATATATATATATATATATATATATATATATGAATGAATATATATATATAGGCTTGTTCGCATATATATATATATATATATATATATATATATATATATATATATATATCCTCTTGCGAACAAATTGATACCAAAATTAAGTACATACGTGGAAAATTAAGGTCAGCTGACCGAAAAGAGTATAAACATTTCAGTGTCGCTGTGAGGTTGCTCGAAATGCCTGGCGCGCGAGGGGAAAGTTAAAGAATCTTCTGCCGGAAGCGCGATAGTGTTAACAGTGATAAATTCCAGATACTCGGGTACGGCAATGAAAAATGATAGGATAGATTACGACAACATTCAAATCCAGGGACCCCATCACAATGGTTGTACTCTTCAAGTCACTTGTGTTATCCTGTCTTGAGTATTGCTCAGTACTCACTTCCCCCTTCAGAGCAGGAGAGATTGCTGAAATAGAGGGAATAAAGAGAACATATACGTCACGCATAGATGCGATAAAGCACTTAAATTATTGGGATCGTGTCAAAGGTCTCCAAATGTACTCGCTAGAAAGGAGACGAGAGAGATACCAAATAATATACACGTGGAAAATACTGGAGGGCCAAGTACCAAATCTACACAGTAAAATAACAATGTACTGGAGTGAACGATATGGAAGAAAATGCAGAATAGAACCATTGAAGCGCATAGGTGCCATAGGAACAATCGGAGAACACTGTATAAACATCAGAGGTCCGCGGCTGTTCAATGTCTTCCCAACAACTATAAGAAATATTGCCGGAACAACCGTAGACATCTTCAAGAGGAAACTAGACTGTTTTCTAAAAAATCATGAACCACAGCCCAGGATCAACTGGGCTGTGGTGGGTATATGGGCCTGCGGGCCGCTCCAAGCAACAGCCTGGTGGACCAAGCTCTCGCAAGTCGAGCCTGGCCTGAGGCCGGGCTTGGGGAGTAGAACAACTCCCAGAACCCCATCAAGCAGGTATCCTGGGAATCAGCATATGACGATAACCGCTGTCTAAGGGTTAATGCCTTGTTCAAAGGCCATGGTTTCTTGGGCTATTCATTTGCTGGTTGTACTTGCAGCCTGATGTATATCCCCGTACACATGATTGATGAATGCATGTAAATATTACTACTATACTTTATAATGTTTATGGATAATATTTAAGCTGTGTGTGTGTAATGCGCCAGAATAGTGTTACAAATTGGTAGTTATTGTTTGGATATTACTGTACATGTCCTCACTGGCTCTGTGTGACATGAGCACTATTTCCATTGCAGAGTTTTTTCATTAAGCCCTGAATTTCCTGCTCTTGCTTCACTGGTTAGCCCATCATCTTTGGCTATTATTTTTCTTAACTGTTATTTGCCCAAAGCAAGTGTTTTCCTCTCCGAAGCACAATTGTGAGTGGGCATGGAGGAGGTGGGTGGCCTCAGCAGCTCCCTCTACCCCATTTGCCCTTCTTACCTGTGAGCTGGGTAGATGGATCACTGGGGTGACCCAAACATCTATCAGGAGATGTGCTGCAATACTAGTGCTTGGTGTGACATTTGGCAAACTTCCACTGCCCTTGTTTCCTTTTTTCAACAGGATTACTAGTTTATTCTTCGCCTGTACAGTGTGGTTTTACTCGGTTGGGTTGTTAAAATTAAATAGATGCTCCTCTTTCCTATGTGAGCACACTAGATTCTAATTCTGGTGTTCGGTAGGCCTAATTACGTTCAGCTTTCGATATTTCATCATTCATCACTTTTAAATCCAATTCTTTGTTTATTACTGTCTGATTTATATAAGCAGTAGGTATTTGTATTATGACTTGCTCATTCAGAGCATTACAATTAAGTTTATGCTATTTAGTACTACAGTGTTTCATTGCATATCTTTTTTTTTTTTTTTTCTCAGAGGTGCTCAAGTAGAGGTGAAGAACAAGAAAGGCAATTCTCCCCTATGGTTGGCTGCTAATGGTGGGCACTTGGAGGTTGTGCAACTACTTTATAGTGCCACTGCAGATATCGATTCAGAGGACAACAGGCGGGTGTCCTGCCTCATGGCAGCATTTAAGAGAGGCCATTATAAAGTGGTTAAATACATGGTTCGAAATGTATCTCAGTTTCCTTCTGACCAGGAATTGCAGCGGTATATTGCCACTTTAGGGGACAAAGAGCTCATCACTAAATGTACCAACTGTTTGGAAGTCATTCGGGCAGCCAAGGACAAGCAGGCTTTAGAAGCCAACAAAAATGCATCCATCCTGCTGGAGGAACTTGAACAAGAACGATCTCGAGAGGAATCAAAGAAAGCGGCAGCATCCCGACGAAGACTCAAGAAAAAGGCTAAAAAGCAAGAAAAGAAAGAGGAAAAGCGGCGCTTAGAAGAAGTGAAAAGAAATGATGACGGTAGTGATAATTATGATGACGACGACGATGAAAATGGAAGCAATGAAGACCAAGATAATCATGAGGAACAAAGTAAGAGAGAGAAAAATGAAGCAAATGCTCTACAAAGAGTAGTGGAGCAAATAGTTCCTGAAGAGAAGGATGGAGATAGTGGCATAGATTCAAATAGCCAGACTAGTGCAACCTCTGAAACCAAAGTAACAGATGAAAAAGACAAACAGGGAAAGAGAACAAAGAAAAAACGGAAGGAATCTTCAACAAAAGACTCGACAATTGCCAACCAAAAACAGAATGGTACGTCTTCCCCAATCCCTAACAGTGAAAGCAATGAGCTTAAAAGGCTAACGCCTAATGCCAACAGTATCCAGCCACAGTGTAGTGCCTCGAATACCTTAAATTCAAAGAGTAAGAAAAAGAAGGAAGAGGAGAATAAAGCAAGCGGAGTAATGAATGAGCTTGATATCTTTCGCCTAGATAATATCAAACCTGTCAACAACAAAAAAGCATCCCATGATTCCTCTCGTGTCAATGCCTTGGACACATTTGGTGAGGTTGATCATTATGTAACGCCCATTCCTGGTCTTGTTGGTAGTGCTTCAACTACTCTAAGTGCACCTTCCCTTAGTCCTAATGCCAAATCTGTCCCTGGTTTAGGAACAAGTCCTAAGAAAGGGACTCGAAGAGAAGAGGGGTGGAAAGAAGTAAGTCGAAAGGCAAAAAAGGTATCTGTTCCCAATAGTGCAATAAGTCGAGTCATTGGTAGAGGTGGCTGTAATATCAATACCATTCGTGAGGTATCTGGTGCACACATTGAGGTAGAGAAGCAAGGCAAGAGTCAAGGAGATAGAATGATCAGCATCAAAGGTTCTACAGAAGCCACCCGTCAGGCTCAGAACCTTATTTCCGCCTTGGTTAAGGATCCTGATAAAGACCTCTCGGAGCTACTTCCCAAATCCGTAGCCAAGGTAGCTCCAAAGCCTTCCAAGATAAATGATAATTCTGTTTTACAGTCAAATAGCAAAGCTTTACGACCTGCCAGCACCATTGGAATTAGTATGCCTACTGTTACATCGTCAACTATCAGCATAACTGTAGCAAAGTCTGGCACCACCACAACTACAGCATGGTCTAGTGCAGTTTCCTCACCAAAGCGGATTATAGCACAAACCAGGCCAGTGTCAACTGTCGGTCCACTGAATTTCTCTGCTCCAAAAAGCCCGGCTGTCCGTCAACTATTCCCAGGAGAGAAGAAATCTGTGCCTACTACATCTGTGGCTAATAAACCATTGAACAGCTCGCATCCAGTAAGTGTACCAATGTCGAGTGAACCTCATCAAACATTTGCTGCAAAGCTGGCAGATTCAAAAACTTCAACTAAAAGTTCAACACCACCATTAGTTGCATCGCCTAACCCTTCTGCTCAGTCTGGGTTACCAAACAATGTTATTAATTCATCAGAAAACATGGTCGGAGAAGATAAAAATGTGCCAGAAACTAATAATAATGGGATGATTAGTCAACAGTATTCTATCTTCAATAACCGTCTCAGTCAAGTGACACATGAAGCTATGTGGGGTAACAAAGAGAAGCAGGTTAACTTTGCATCTGTGGCTGCAGCTGGGCTTGTGCCAAATGGAAATAATAAGATACCACCCCAGATGCTTCAACATCATCATCAGCATTTAGGAGTTGGCCAAGTCAATAACTACATGGAACCTGTTGACCAACTTCCAATGGCAGATGTTACTCGTGCTCCTGGTTATAGAGGGACAACATCTACTGTTATAGTCAGTAGTCAAATGCCTTCTGTTGCTTCTGGCAGTCCACCAGGAAGTGTCCCTGTGCCTATGCCTTTATCTGGACCACACCAGCCTGGGGCTACTAATATGGCTCGTAGTGCACCTGGAACACCTGTAGCCTCCCCATCAATGAGGCCTATTGCACCTCCACCTGCTCGTCAGACAGCAACACCCCCTATGGGTGGTGCATCATTCACTCTCCTTCCAGGTCCATCACGTACTCCTCCACCTATGTCGTCATTAGTGCGATTGCCTTTACAGTCTGCCTCGCTTGGACCGGGTGGTCCACTACCAACTCGTCATATGTCCCAGTCTGGAATGAACATGGGACAGCAACCGTATTCTGGAGTTTCTATGGCCAGTCTTGCACCTGGGGGCCCAGTGTCGTCCATTCCCCGTGTCCCAATACCACCACCAGACCACTCTGACTTGGTCAACCTAGCACCTGGTCAGCCTTATCGTAAACCACCACCACCACTTGAAATGACCATGGGCTCTTTCCATCAGCAAAAGCAGCAGCAACAGCAACAGCAGCAGCAACTACCTTCTTTAGCTCAGCTTGCAGGAATGATGAATAGCCCAAGATTTACCACGCCACAAACCAACACTCACCCAGTTTTTACCAATAATATTTTGGCACCCATTTCAGCAGCTCCACAGATACAGAGCAATCTTAACCCTAATGCACCTGATTTTACTAGCCGATCTGGAGGTTTTGTGCCACCACCTTCTTTTCAATCTCGCCAACAGTTAGCTTTTCAGAATGGTGCACCAACTGTAACACATTCTCTCGGATCAGGATTTGGTGGGATTAGTCAATTTCCAGCTGGGCTAGAAACACTGTCATTCAATGAAGTTATGAGTGGACTTATGCCACGTAATCAACCACCTTTGGCTGCCATCCCTGCTTCAGTTGGAGTCAATGCTGCCTTCAGAAACAATGGACCATCACAAGACGGCTCATCCCCTCTTGCATCCCCCCATTCATCTAATCCAGCCTCTCCCACTCAATCTGCATCTGCTGCCAGTGCTGGAGGGTTGGCACAGCTACCTGAAGAGCGTCATGCAAAACTACAACCAATTGGTACCGAGCGTGCACAGAAAAGGTCGGAGCGGGGTGCTGTAGTTGGAGGACTGGGCGGTCACGGAGGGGCTGTGGTCGCCGACATACATTGGAACATGCAAATGCCAGATCTGTTGGCTGGGCCCCACCTTGATCACAGTCTGCCAGCCAACCCATATTACAGTGATTTGGACATGGCACAGTATACACAGGTTAGTGAAAATCTTACTTGTTTCTGGATAGCCCTTCTGGTTCTGTGCTGCAGTATGTAATGTGGTCTCTTTCATGTTGAGGGTATAAATTAACTTCATTTCTATTTATACATTCAACTCTTGAATTTAAAAAATATTGCATGCCAATTTATTACCAAGAAATTAAAATATCCATCTCTAAATTAAAACAAATGTTTTTCTAACTGCTCAGTGGCTTTCCCACAATCCCAACTTTTGATGTGCTCTTTGAGGAAAGTCTTTAATATTGGTCAGATTGTGTTATGAATGGAGATATAATAGTGTAGCAATCATAGTTATAGAAATCATGTGGCTTTGTGGTGTTGCGGTTTTTAGGTACAAGAATTATAGAATACACATTTCTTAAGCTGTAGGTTTAATATACTAGAGCAGCAATGGAGTGCAGTGGAGTCTTGCTTGAATGGACTGTTTCATGCAAGACCTCTTTTGTCTGCAAAAGTTTTTTAATGTAAACTTTGCTATTTTTCATTGTTATACCATTTTTTTTCTTTATGGTAAAACTGTAGGATAAATCTTTTTTACAAAAATTACCTGGAAAGTAAATTTGTTTATATTTTAAATTTCTTTTAGGCTTTTTGGCAACAAATTATGGTTCAGCGGAATGTGTGGACTAGTTCCACCGGAAGTCTTCTATTATTTCCCATTGCAAGTGTTTGCAACGGTCTTAAAGCTGAGCAAATTGTTCCGTTGCATTCTGACCTCCAGCAGAGGGGTTGCCGTTCAAACGAGACTCCACTGTATACCGGTAGGGGCTCTTGAGGATTAAATTAGGTATTGGGAGATATGTTGAGATGTATACATATTTACGAAATATTTTATGCATGGTGATAAGATGCCTAAACATGACCAAAAACAATTTTGAAGTTAGTTCCCACACACCTTGTCTTCAACTTTATTATGGATTTGTTACGTATGCACTAGTGTGAATGTCATTCTTGGCCATCGTTATACATGAATGAATTCATCAATTTAAGATGGTTGTGGGAGTAAATGGATAAATACTGTAGTTTGTGGTTGGTTAATCAATGTGTTAAATTAAGAAGGACAATTGTGGTAATGAGGAGCAGATATTGGACAAGCCACGACAAGCCAACAATAATATGGAGATAGTATGCATTATGGGCAAAAATTGTTATGTTATGTATAATAGAAAGTTCGGATAATGTTATGTAAAATAGAAAGCTTTTTGCACATTGTGGACCAGGAAGAGCATACCTGTAAGTACTGGTGAGACATGGTAGTTATTTATGCAGAATTAGTTAATATATCAGGACCTAAATGTGTTATTCGACATGGTCATCAGCCAGATATTGTAAGGATTTTCAAAATGTAAATGTGGTATAGATATCTTGAACAGTAATAGTTTTTGTTTTCTGATGTTTACTCACAATATAGCTAATAAAAGTATTTCAAGGTAAATGCTAGTGAATAATGATACAAAATTTGTAACTTGATGCTTTCTTTTTATTCAAATATAACTCAGAAGACATCATCACCTGATTACTTTATTATTACTAAACAATTCTACACCATTTAAAGTAAAATAGTTTCCAACTAGTCAAGATTGTTGTAAAGGTAGCTTTTTTAATTTACTAACATTTTAAGTATGCTTTATTTTGCATGGGACTCTTCCCACCCACCTCTACTATAGCTCTAAATATTACAATACTTTGGATTGGTAGAGCTTTGAAATTAATACTTTAAAATTATATTGCTTAGAATTAATACAAAATGAATTGAGTTTTATTTGAATTTTCAGAGAGTAATTAATGGCAATTTCTATATAACAGCTTTGGAACTGGGACATGAATCAGCAGATGTAGAACTCGCCCCAACTAAGAGCAGCAGCAGCAGCAGCAGCAGAAGCATGATGAATAACAGAGGAAGCTGGTAGCAGAGGCCAGATGCTCCAGCAATTGGGAGCGTCTTAAAGGAGCAGCAGTGGTGGTAGCAGCAGCGGGCTGCCTCTTATGTTGCTCGGCACCGCTTATTTCATCCTCGACAGATCTGCTTGCCTCAAAAAAATTTATCAAATTAAATGCTTTTAATTGTAGTCCTTGTGGTTTGGGTGACATTAAACTCAGTGAAATTGCTTCATTCAAGATATAATGAATTCAATGAATGGTACCTCATATGTACCCATATTTTAGGTCAATAAAATGTTTTAAAGTACCACTTTAAAATTGAGTGATGTATGATAACTGTTAATGTTTTCAAAGGTTTAAAGGCAACCTCATATGCAATTGCTGTGGTGTCACTCGTGTTGACATGGTTATGATATTTTGTTGCTTGCCCATGTAAGGATTATTGGTAGTCGTAAAATGACGCAACGTAATGGTGGCCTCATAAACTCTTGGTAGGATAATTGTGGTGACTGGAGTCACTACCCCCCATGACTGAGGAGGACATTGTCCTAGTGTGGCTGCGCCTGCCGCCCCCACCGGCTGGTCCCACCCCCTCCCAGGCTGCCCGGGGGCGGCGGTGTGTGCAGGCCGCTATGTAGTGCACATGGGCATCTACTGCGCCTGCCCACTGAACATGCTTCCGGCATGGATGGGTTCCCGGCCCCTTTGTGTCCCCATCGATGCCGGCAGCCCATGATGACTGCTTGTAGTCGGCTTGTCACTGGTTCACCCCGCACCCGGGCCTAAGTTTGCAGTCTTGTGTTTCCTTCATTGTATGCAAAGTCAAGTCACTAGAAGGCAACTTACTGTCCTGAGTTGAGCGATCCCTATCCCTCCCATTTGGCCTTTCTTACCTTCCGACATCCTCCCCTCCCTATCCCGCTGCCCGCCCTCCCTTTCGCCTGCTCTGTGACGTGCGGCTGCCACACCGCCGCCCGCTCCAAGGTCGTACTTGTATATGCAGCAGTAATTATAATAAAGCTTACTATCCACTTCTATGTGGAAACATTAAAGATTTATCAGGCAACATTATTTAATTATCCCTCTTTTTAAAGTTCATGTTGGGAAAAATAATGTTTTAGTAGTAGTATAGTAGTCACAATGAGCTGTCTTGCAAGTGGTACAGAAGTAGATGTTGCCACCTACCACTGCCAAACGATGGTAATTTATAAATTACATATGATAATTTTCATTTCGGTAAAAGTGCAAGGAGGCATAAGGGGCCAGATGATGCAATCAAGGGACTTACAGATGTTAAGCAAAAACTTAATTTAATACCAAGGCTACTTGCCCTGAAGTCCACCTAAGTGGATGGTGCCGTGACATAGTGAGGGGATGTTTGTGCACAGCCCACGAGTAGGAGGGGAGGTGGTTGCTGCTTCCCTCTCCTGCCTGTTGTGGCGCACAAGCAAAATGCGCCCCAATTTGTTAGCCGTGTGTGGAGACCCGTACATTCCCTTGTTCATCTGGGAGTTGAACATACCTGGTGGCTGTAGCTCCTGCAGGACAACTCGCTTCTTTGGTAAGGGAACGGTGGTAAAATTTAAGGTTAAGTGTGGCTCACCTGAACAAGTGCTCATCTAGTTAGATATTGGATACATGTGGGGTTGGTGCCCCATTGGTCCCTGGTATACCATTTAGCCCTTCAGTGGTGACTCTCATATATTGTTCATTATTCCTGAAGGCAGTGAGACATTTCACTAGTTTGCTAGATTCCGACCCTATTTACACTTCCCAGACTCGTGGGGTGGGCGACTTGGCCCCCCCGGCCCAGACCAATGGGCCCACTCTCCACACACTGACCTCTGAACCTGCTCCTAATCCTTCCTAGTCTCCATTATCCTTTGCCTTAGATGTCTCTCTTTCTTTTTCCTCTTGTTTTTTATTATGTTTATTCTTCAGTGGAATATACATGGTTTCTTTGCAAATGTTTATATTAACGTCAACTTCTGATATTACAATTTTCACTTCTTTGTCTCCAGGAGTCGATGCTTGGTGCTTGTCCTGGTAGCTTTTGTGGTTACTTCTTTTCCCCTCCAGCTTTTTGCCAAGACCAGTAATTCTACTGTTCTTTTGATAAAGACTGATGTTCCCTTTTGTCCTTCTTTTTCAGTCGAATGTTCATTCCTCTGCTGTTCGTATCTTTCTTTGTAAATGGTACACCATCTGTTCCATTTATCTTTCCCTATCCCCCTGGCATGTTCCTTTTCATCTTCATGATTTCAGATGCCTCTTGGACTCTTATTACACTTTTGGGTAATTTTAACTGTTAGCATGCTCTCTGGGGTGATTCTGTGACAGGTACTAGAGGTAGTCTTCTGGAACCTTTCATTCTCTTCTCCATTGTCTCCTGAATTCTGGGAAGCAAATTCCTGTTGACTCATGCTCTCACTATTTCCTGTATTGAGCTTTTTCTCGTTTTTGACTCGGCTACTCGGAACAAAATGTTTCAAGCAGCACGGCCTATGGTGAGCCCGTCGTACTTGCCTGACACTGGAGTTTACCGCTATTTTTCTGATTTTGCTCCCCATCCTCCTAAACCCTCCACCTCCTCCCCTCCTCCTCTCGTTCCCTCGATGGCAGTTTGATAAGGCGGACTGGAAACTTTTCACCCTCTACCCTCCTTTTTCCAGCAGCCTCTCCAATCTGCCTCTCCCTTAAGTCCCTTCTATTTTCATTACATATTAGATGCTGCCCTCGGCTCTGTACCTTGTTATGCCTCCGAGGCGCGCTGATGTCGAATCCCTGGTGGAATTCAGATCGTACTCGGGCTATAAATGTGCACCCTGGAAAAGACATAACTGACAGCTTCCAGATTTTTTCCTTTTGTTTCTGAAGGAGAGTGTGATGGCCATAAGGGCCACCCAAACAGCTAAACAGGAGATCTGGGAATCTCCTGTTTATCCGAAGACTGACTTGAGACTGTTGTTATTCCTATATTGAAACCCGGTACTCGAGGGACTTTTCCCTAATGATTTTTCAACCCCTTTGCCCTGACAGAGTTGCATCTGCAAGCTTTTCGAATATATGGTCAATGTCTGTGATAATGTTCTTAGAACTATATCGCTAACCCTTCTCCCTCTTAATTTGGCTTTCCTAAGTGCTGCAGTAAGACTGATATTCTAATGGACTTGAAGATTTACATTTTTTCTGCCTTTGCCGCAAAGACTCCCATGATTATCGTTCTTTTTGACCCGGAAAAGGCTTATGGCATCAACTTGAGATAAATATTTTATTCTACCTTGCTATGTTTTTCGGGGCTCAACACAAGGTTTTTCTATGATGCTCCTTAGGATTGCTGGATCATAGGCAGCCTTTTTCATCGGAAGACCTTCTATTACTATTTTGAAGGTGGTCTTCTCCCACGTTGGGGAACAAGTAGAGTTTGGGTGTGGATGATCATCATCTTTTATCAAGATTCATGCTTTTTAACTGTGGTCTGTTTAGGACTTCTCCCTCTGGCAGCCCAAGAAGTTTTTGTCTTAGTCCAACCACATAGACCTGCTGTACTGGGACTGGATCGGGGGAACCTTTATCTGAATGATAATTGTGGCTGTTCTTTGAGTTATTCTCTCTTGGAGAGGGCAAACCCATTTCCAGTACTTTCAAGTCAGGTCCCACACAGGGGGTTCCCAGGGCAAATCATATCATTTTGTGCTACTTCAAGTTTTTTCCACTGTTGATGGGATTGGCTTGAGTGCAGGTGAGGCATAGTCAATCACTGATTCTGACTGCCTGTACATAGTATGTGCGAGGGACTTGCAGATTCCCTCCTCTAGAGAGAGAGGGGTTAGTGACCTGAGGATTGCCGTCTGGGCTGCAGTTTTCTCAAGTAAGTGACCTTGGTATTAACATTTATCTGCATGTCCAGGATTATAGGGGCCTCGTAGCCTGGTGGATAGCGCGCAGGACTCGTAATTCTGTGGCGCGGGTTCGATTCCCGCACGAGGCAGAAACAAATGGGCAAAGTTTCTTTCACCCTAAATGCCCCTGTTACCTAGCAGTAAATAGGTACCTGGGAGTTAGTCAGCTGTCACAGGCTGCTTCCTGGGGGTGGAGGCCTGGTCGAGGACCGGGCCACGGGGACACTAAAGCCCCGAAATCATCTCAAGATAACCTCTCAAGAAGATTATTCCTAGATACTGGTAAGTGTCCATCCATTCTATTAGTTGACCCTGTACTTTGAGTTGGTTTTTGGGTTGAATATTTTGATGGGCATGGCTTTTGTCTTTGTGGGGTTGAATTTTATGCCAATGTGCTCTGCCTCTTCACTGGTACAGTCTAAGCATTTTGGTGCAAGGCACACAGCATCCCTTCCCTTGATGATAACAAAGTAGTCCACATAGTTCAGTAGCCTGCAAAGTTATGGGAGTTTCCACCTCATTATTCATTCCATTAAACAGTTCAAGAGGAGGGGGGCTGAGTATGCCTCCTTGTGGTGTTCCATTTTTTGGTATTCGGAGGCTGTGCCGTGTAGTTTGACTCTTGCTTCTCTGTTTGAGACAGTTTTTGGTCCAGGAGAGCATGTTGCCTGACCTCTTTGTCGATGAGGCAGCGGAGGATAGCTGGGACGCTGGTCAGTTCAAAGGCTTCTCGAGGTCCAGGAATATCAGTATTCCTGGTCTGTCATTCAAGTGGGCTAACAGAGTGGTAATACATTCCACTGTGCCAACCCCTTTTCTGTAGGCATACATGTCTGGGTGCAGTTACGCATTTTCCATTCAAGTCTGTTGAGTGCCATTTTGCCTGCACAGCTTTAGAGAGAGATGGGCCTGGGATTAGCTGGATCTTAGAGTTTTGGGATCGGCACTTTGTCTGCTCTATTCAAAGCTGTAGGTCTGGTTTGAGAAGTCCAGGTTAAATTGATTAGTCTTTGGTAGGCAGCATCTTCCTCTGGGCCGAGGTTCCTAGTCATTTAATAGGTTATTTTGTCGTCTCCAGGGGATGTATCATTGGAGTTTTTCTTAGCCCGACTGAGCGCATCCAGTGTGAAAGCGGTATCAGTGTCGGAGGCTTCTGCACATGCTGTTAGAATCTTGACACCTTTACTCTGATGCTCTCTGCATTGCTAGTACTTGTGGACGCTGATTACTGGCTACGTTTTCTGTAAATTTATTTTTTAGTACTTCAGCGTCTTGTTGAGGATCCTCAGGGTGTGGGGCTTTTGGTGTTTTATTTCCTTTTGCCCTGTGGAGTTACTGCCACATCACTCCGAGAGAGGTGTGTTCATTCAGATGTGAACACCATTCCAATCACCTTTGTTCTTTGATTATCCTGAACTCTTGGTGCACCTGTTCCTTGACTTCACCGAGTAGGGTCCTGATGGGGTCGCTTGGGTGCTCTTTGTATAGCTTTGTGCAGATGAGTCCATGATTGAGCTTTTGGACACGTTCGCAATAGTGATCTTTGTGGTGTCTGGTGGACTTTTTTTTTCAGTGGAATTAAGTGGTTGGCTGTACTATGAATTTGACAAAATCTTGTTCTGCCTGATTAATATCTTCGGAAACATGTTCCGGAAGTTCAACATAGTTGTTCCTGGATCCCATCACAATGGTTGTACTATTCAAATCATTTGTGCTGTCTCGTCTTGAGTACTACTCGATACTCACTTTTCCCTTCAGAGCAGGAGAGATTGCTGACAGAGGGGATACAGAGGATATAAGGCATACATAAAAGTAGTAGTAGGCATCCATCAGTCTCAGGAGACTATGGACGCGCGCACTGGCGTCGGCCCGGTCTGGAGTGGCTTGGCTTGAACCCTATGTAACTTGTACATAGACACGATAAAGCTCCTAAATTATTGGGATCGTCTCAAAGCTCTCCAAATGTACTCTTTAGAAAGAGACGAGAGAGGTATCAAATTATATACGCCCGGGTCCCAAATTTATACGGGAAAAAACATACGTGAACGATATGGAAATTCAGAATAGAACCAGGGTAAAGCAGAGGTGCCACAGACACACAGAACACTGCATGAACATCAGAGGTCTACGGTTGTTCAACATTCTAACATTGAGCATAAGATAAATTTTTTCGTGGAACAAACGTGGACGTAGCCGGTCGGCCGAGCGGACAGCACATTGGACTTTTGATCCTGTGGTCCTGGGTTCGATCCCAGGCGCCGGCGAGAAACAATGGGCAGAGTTTTTTTCACCCTATGCCCCTGTTACCTAGCAGTAAAATAGGTACCTGGGATGTTAGTCAGCTGTCACGGGCTGCTTTCTGGGGGTGGAGGCCTGGTCGAGGACCGGGCCGCAGGGACACTAAAAGCCCCGAAATCATCTCAAGATAACGTATTTAAGAGAAAACTGGATAGTTTTCTTCAAGTACCGGACTGTAGTGGATATGTTGGTCTGCAAGCCGCGCCGAGCAACTGCCTGTTGGACCAAGCTTTCGAGTCAACCCTGGCTCTGGAAGTAGAACTCAAAGAACCCCACCAAGGTATAGTTTCTATATTTCTCCTCGTGTTGTTCCGTCCATGCCCCCCGTGGAGGATCCCCTTTCCTTAATATTGTAAATCCCTGACCCACATCACTAAAGCTTTTACACCCCCCCCCCCCTACAGTTCTGAAACGTCTTTTCCTTGGACACTTTTATTCACATTCCTGCTCGGTTTCCATCTTCACTGATGGGTCTAAGTCTGCAGACGGTGTAGGCTACTCTTGTTTTTCCTGACCACACCTATATGTGTCGCCTGCCTCTGGAGACTAGCATCTTCACGGCAGAACTTTATGCTATTCTCTATGCTCTTTGTCTCCTGCTTTCTCGCTCTCAATCCTTTGTGGTTGTAGTTGACTCTCGCAGTGCTCTCATGGCTCTGGAGACCTTTAATCCAGTCCATCCGGTAGTAGTCGAGATTCAACATTGGCCGTTTCTTATCTCCAGTAGATTTAAGACAGTTGAGTTTTGTTGGGTTCCTAGCCATATTGGTCTCTCTTTAAATGAGCGTGCGGATGCTGCTACTAAGGAAGCTATCCACACTTGTCCCATCTCTCGTAAAGGTATTCCTTATTCTGACTTTTACCCAGTTATTCATTCCTCCATCCTTGCCCGTTGGCAGAGTTGTTGTTCTGTTAACAAACTGCGTACTCTTAACAGTAGTGTGTCCCCCGTGGCCTTCCTCCTACCACCGTAACCGGCGGTGGGAAACGGCTCTTAACTCACGGACACTTAATGAAGCGCCGCCCTGCACCTTATTGTCCTAACTGCATTGTTCCTCTTACAGTTGTGCATATCCTTGTTGAATGTCCAGACTTCCAGGACGATCTTGCTTTCCAATCGTCCCCCGCGGTCACCTGTCCCTCGATAGAATTCTTGGTGAATCGGATACTTTTGATATTGTTTGCCTTATGCGTTTCTGTTCTCATATTGGCATCCTTGGTGATATTTAGCGTCCTCTGATTATTCCGCACATTTTATGGTACTACATAGCCTTCCCGACTTGGTGCCTTCTTTGATAATTACTTCTATACCACATTCGAGATGAAGTGTTGAGAGGCGTCACATTTCACTAGAGCGAAGTTCCAGGCTTCTGGTGGAAGTGAGAAGGTTAGTTCCAACTTTAGATCAATTTAGGCCCCCATAGTGGTGTGTGAGTGTGGGTCGCTGCATCTCTGAGGGTGGTTGAAATGAAGGTAGGGTCTAATCTTCCTCCTTGAATGTGGGTGGGTTCATCCTTGTTTAGAAAAAGAATTTCTGGCAGATTTGCTATTTGAGTGCCGGCCTCATTTGTTGCGTTGGAACCCAGTGTCCCACGTTCATGAGCTTTGAAATCATCAATTATTGTGTTTAAGATGATGGCATGCCTAAAGAACACACAAAGATCCATTTCTGCACGTGGAGGCCTGTAAATATTGAACACTAAGTTTGTCGTGTCTTAGCTGGTCGGAGGCCTGGAGGCCTGGTAGACGACCGGGCCGCGGGGACGCTAGGCCCCGGAAGCACCTCATTGTTTGTTTGAATTTCTCAAGATTGTCCTCGATTGTCTTTCGAGTCTGTGGATTCTGTTAGTCACTTCTGGGGTGTGGCGTTTTCATTTGCAATATGCTTGGGGACCATTCAAGCTTGTTCGCATTTCTGTTGCTCACGTTGCCCCACTAACATGAAGTGATTTGATGAAATAGCTATGCCCAAGATTACCATCAAAGTGCCGCCGGGGGTTAGTCAAATAGCTTCGGCTATCACCTCCTTATGTGCGGTCATTGATGGTCGAGTGGATTAAGGCACCGTGACACCAGTTGCAATGTACTTCTGGAGGTCACTTTTTTTCTGGATTGAACTTTTTTGAATCATTTTAAGCCTTTCAGGGCATTCCAGGTTCGAGGTGTGGTGTTCCTTAGAGCAGTTTGGGCACTTGTCTTGCACTACCTGGTTCAAATACGCCTCGTGTTTGTCAAGACGTATTTTAGTGTGGTGGGGCTGGTTGGAAACCCCACACCTCACTGGGCATTGACAGCCTTCGTTGTGATGCCCAAATGTAGTCATTTAGCACTATGGATCCTGTGGTAGTCGAAATTCAACATTGTCTATTTCTTATCTCTAGTAGATTTAAGACAGTTGAGTATTGCTGGGTTTCCAGCCATATTGGTGTTACTTTAAATGAGCGTGTGGACACTGCCACTAAGGAGGTTGTCAGCACACTTGTCCTATTTCCATAAAAATGGTATTCCTTATTCAGAGTTGTACCCAGTCATTCATTCCTCATCCGAGACCGCTGGTAGGGTCAATGGTCCGAGGTAACAAACTGCGCGCTCTTAAAAGTTAACATATCCCCTTGGCCTTCCTCCTACCACTATAATACACGCTGGGAAACGGCTCTGGCGAGGTTATGTATTGGTCATACACGCGTTACTCCCGGATAGTTAATGGACCCCCCCGCCCCCTGCTCCTTACTCTCCAAACTGCATTGTTCTCTTACAGTTGTGCTCCTCCTCGTGGAATGTCCTGCTTTTCAGGACGATCCCATGTCTTGCTTTCCTAATGTCCCTCGACAAAATCCTCGCTGAATCTGATACCTTTGAAATCCTTTACCTTATGTGTTTTTGTTCTCATATTGGCATCGTCCTTAATGATATTTAGCACCTTTCGAATAACCAGCGACACTGATGATGCTACATGCGAAATAGAAATTAAAAACCAACGTCAGTATTGGGCTTATCCTTACAAGTGAAGGTTCATAAACTGTACGACAAAGAAATTAGTTAAATCCTAAAAAAAGAATGAGATTTAGCACTAATAAACAGCATGAAAACGGAAGATTCGGACAGCTTTACGTATGATATTCAAACTCCTGAAAACATAACTGATATCAACACGAACTCTGCAAATTGTGAAAGATAAATTACAACATGCCCATGCTCTCAGTCCCGGGTCCAGACTCGTGCATTCAATATTCATAAAAATAATGCAAAGTGCCAGTAACAGAGGCACTCTGTATAGTGTGGAGGAAGAACACGGGGAGATACCAGAATCCCTTAAATCAGCAGATATAGCTCCCTAACACAAAGGAGGAAGCAAAGCATTGGTTAAGAATTATTGACCAGTTGCATTAACGTCCATATAATAAATTTTTTTGGGAGAGTCATCAAGAGTCAAGATACAAGTTTCGTAGAGACCAATGACCTCCACAACCCAGGCCAACATGGATTTAGAGCAGGAAGACCATGTCTTTCGTAGATCATCGACCACTGACAAAATCACTGAGGCATTAGATGAAAAAACAGAATGCAAATGTGGTTACACGTACTTTACACAGGCATTTTATTAATGGGACCTTAGAGTGATAGCTCGCAAAATGAGGTGAATAGGAATAACGGGTAAAGTACAGTGATGTATATTAAATTTTCTGTCAAACAATGCAAAAGTTAACAGGTCGATCTAATAAAATGAGGTCCAAGCACAGTGTAAAGCTCTGTACCTCGGTACAGTATTTGTATCACTGATTTTCCTTATTCTCATCAGATATAGAAAAAAATATAAAGTCACAGCTTCGTGTCAAGCTGTGACTTTAGATATCGGTAATCTGCTGGTACAGTTGAGTTCGTTCTCAACTCACTGTTGGGAATACCGGGTTCGAATTTCCGAGCGGGACAGAAATGGTTATCTTGAGGTTATCTTGAGATGATTTCGGGGCACGAAATCATCTCAAGTTTCCCCGCGGCACGGTCCTCGACCAGGCCTCCACCCCCAGGAAGCAGTCCGTGACAGCTGACTAACACCCAGGTACCTATTTTACTGCTAGGTAACAGGGCATCAGTGTGAAAGAAACTCTGCCCATTGTTTCTCGCCGGCGCCCGGGATCGAACCCAGGACCACAGGATCACAAGTCAAGAGTGCTGTCCGCTCGGCCGACCGGCTCCCGTTCCTGGTTGGGAACGTTTCCTAAAACCTATTGCTTCTGCTCACCTAGCAGTAAATACCGGTAGGTACCCGGGAGCTGTTTAATCCGTACTGTAGTTTCATTGCTCTATCTTCTTTCTAGAACACTATCGTCACCTCTCTCAATCTGGCTGTCACAAGTGTCGCAGTACGACTGATATCTTGGTGAACTTTGCAGTTTACATTCGTACTGCCTCTGCTGGGAATACCTCCGTTGTTGCCATTCACTTGACCAGGAGAAGGCCTATGATACCACTTGCAGAAGCAATTTTTATCCCGGCTACATTCTTTTGGCCTTCGTGCCAAGCTCCCGCTCTTTCTTCAAAGCTTCCTCTCTCTCGTCGTTCGCTTACAGTGAGATTTGGTGCCACTTTCTGACACCTTTCAGCGACAATTAGAGGCAGCGGCGGCTCAAAAAAAATAAATAAATAACAGGAGCCGCTCACTGCAGTCCCCCCAGGTACTCTCTGCCAGATGTGTGACGCTATCAACCTCACACTAGAATAATAAGCAACTAACAAATAAATCATAACAACAAATCTTTATATGTTATTGTTAATATATTTTTAACAGATTTTTAAAAAATTTCATTAAAACGAGACAAATATAAAGGTTTCATGCTGTACGACAGTGTAGGACTTATCGAGGCTACATCTGGCAACGCTGAGCTGCACTGTCGCAGCTCAGTCACTGGGTTACTCCCTAGTTTAGTGCTATTAGTGGTGCTTAAGTTGCTTTGAGTACTTCATAAGTTTATTTACCCTTTGACTAACAACTACAATGGATGGTAAAGTGAAATCAGTGAAGTATTTACAAAGTATTAACTGTTCGCAGCCGACATCAAATAAAAAAAAAAGGAAAAAGGAAGACCAGATTTAAAGTACCAGATTTATAAATTCTACGGAGCAGTACCAGCAAGAACAAACAATATACACGCCAGTGTAACATCAGTGTATCAAAAATGTGAATGGTTTGTGATTGTGACGAGAAAAACGCTTTATTTTGCTTTCCATGCAGCAAAATGTTTGGTGGGGACCCATCATGGACGAAAAGTGGTGTGACTGACTTGAGCATTTACCACAGAACATGGTGAAACAAAAGAGCTGAAGGGAAGAAAATGTAACACAGATACATCAGTTTCTGCAAAGGATGTTTGTGATGTAATTTTGTTGCAGTGCAAAACAGCTAATCATTTGAATGCTAGCAAGTTACTTTTAGTGAATAATTTTCCTATATATACCAAAGATTTTCCCGGTAATGCACTTGTATAGGCAGTTGCAGCCTATCCTATACTTAAAAAAGATAAATTGAAAGCCTAACTTTACTGTACGCAAGAGAAGATTTGCGTAAATCAAAAGACTCAATGACGTGTTGGAGGTTATGAATGTCAATCATTTACAATCAACATTTTCAGAAACTGTGAAGTTGCCGAAAATATTAATAACAACGCCAATGACAATAGCAGCAGCAGAAAGGGGCTTTTCAATTTTAAAGAGAATCAAAAAATGTTTGCGCAGTGTCATGGTCTCCTCTAGCAATGATATCGATTGAAAATACAATAACAGTAATGCAGGATTTTAATGACAAGTAATAGACCATTTTGTTACATTGAAGAACCGACGCACTGATGTTCTTCTCAAGTAATATTAAGGTCACCACCACAGCCATCCGCACCTCCACCAACCTGACAATGACGACCGCTTTGGACCTTCAAACCGTATGAGGTGAATTTATGTCTTTCCTTTAATTATTTCTTTCTTTAATTATTTTTCCTTTAATTATTATTATACTGTTGAGTGAAGCTTGCAGTACGCTGTCCCTTCATTCTATTTTCCCACGAGCCACTACTGGTTAGAAGCACAGAACTTGTACTACAAAATCAATACCTTACCTTGAGGTGCTTCCGGGGCTTAGTGTCCCCGCGGCCCGGTCGTCGACCAGGCCTCCTGGTTGCTGGACTGCTCAACCAGACTGTTAGACGCGGCTGCTCGCAGCCTGACGTATGAGTCACAGCCTGGTTGATCAGGTACCGCCAGCACTGTGCTCATACTTATACAATGCATATTAGTGGCTTTGCCAGAATGTAAGAACACCAATGTTATGTTCTCTCAAAACCCAGTGTACCTTTTAGAATATAAATAAATAAATATATACTGTATATGTTTGTAAATTTGGGCAAATGTTCCTTTAAACATATATGGTTAAATATGACCGCATTGCTGACGTTGTCGATCATATAGTATACGGTTTCCATGCTTCTATTTTCTTTCGGGATTAATAAGAGAAATCAAGTTGCCGAAATTCATGGTAAAGAAACTTTAGTAATGAATGATGGCTTATTTTGTACACCGTTTCGTTCCACTCTGGAACATCTTCATGTAAAGAATGAATAGACAAGTTTTAAAATCATCATCAATAGAAATGTGAAAGAGGTGAAGTTATGTGGAGGGTAAGGTGAAGTAATCAAACATAGGTAAAGAAACGGGATAATAGTGGAGATTGATGCTAATCAAACACTGGGTCAGATTGTGGGCGGGGAGAACTGGGTAGAGATGTCGTTATCAGGTGCTTTATGGAGAGGTCTGGGTCTGAGCGTAGGCAAGGTGCTGTATGGTGACGTCTGGGTCTGAGCGTAGGCAAGGTGCTGTATGGTGACGTCTGGGTCTGAGCGTAGGCAAGGTGCTGTATGGTGACGTCTGGGTCTGAGCGTAGGCAAGGTGCTGTATGGTGAGGTCTGGGTCTGAGCGTAGGCAAGGTGCTGTATGGTGAGGTCTGGGTCTGAGCGTAGGCAAGGTGCTGTATGGTGAGGTCTGGGTCTGAGCGTAGGCAAGGTGCTGTATGGTGACGTCTGGGTCTGAGCGTAGGCAAGGGGCTGAATGGTGACGTCTGGGTCTGAGCGTAGGCAAGGGGCTGTATGGTGACGTCTGGGTCTGAGCGTAGGCAAGGTGCTGTATGGTGACGTCTGGGTCTGAGCGTAGGCAAGGTGCTGTATGGTGACGTCTGGGTCTGAGCGTAGGCAAGGTGCTGTATGGTGAGGTCTGGGTCTGAGCGTAGGCAAGGTGCTGTATGGTGAGGTCTGGGTCTGAGCGTAGGCAAGGTGCTGTATGGTGAGGTCTGAGTCTGAGCGTAGGCAAGGTGCTGTATGGTGAGGTCTGGGTCTGAGCGTAGGCAAGGTGCTGTATGGTGAGGTCTGGGTCTGAGCGTAGGCAAGGTGCTGTATGGTGAGGTCTGGGTCTGAGCGTAGGCAAGGTGCTGTATGGTGAGGTCTGGGTCTGAGTGTAGGCAAGGTGCTGTATGGTGAGGTCTGGGTCTGAGTGTAGGCAAGGTGCTGTATGGTGAGGTCTGGGTCTGAGTGTAGGCAAGGTGCTGTATGGTGAGGTCTGGGTCTGAGTGTAGGCAAGTGGTGTATGGTGAGGTCTGGGTCTGAGCGTAGGCAAGGTGCTTTATGGAGAGGTCTGGGTCTGAGCGTAGGCAAGGTGCTGTATGGTGAGGTCTGGGTCTGAGCGTAGGCAAGGTGCTGTATGGTGACGTCTGGGTCTGAGCGTAGGCAAGGTGGTGTATGGTGAGGTCTGGGTCTGAGCGTAGGCAAGGTGCTTTATGGAGAGGTCTGGGTCTGAGCGTAGGCAAGGTGCTGTATGGTGAGGTCTGGGTCTGAGCGTAGGCAAGGTGCTGTATGGTGAGGTCTGGGTCTGAGCGTAGGCAAGGTGCTGTATGGTGAGGTCTGGGTCTGAGCGTAGGCAAGGTGCTGTATGGTGAGGTCTGGGTCTGAGCGTAGGCAAGGTGGTGTATGGTGAGGTCTGGGTCTGAGCGTAGGCAAGGTGCTGTATGGTGAGGTCTGGGTCTGAGCGTAGGCAAGGTGCTGTATGGTGAGGTCTGGGTCTGAGTGTAGGCAAGGTGCTGTATGGTGAGGTCTGGGTCTGAGCGTAGGCAAGGTGCTGTATGGTGAGGTCTGGGTCTGAGCGTAGGCAAGGTGCTGTATGGTGAGGTCTGGGTCTGAGCGTAGGCAAGGTGCTGTATGGTGAGGTCTGGGTCTGAGTGTAGGCAAGGTGCTGTATGGTGAGGTCTGGGTCTGAGCGTAGGCAAGGTGCTGTATGGTGAGGTCTGGGTCTGAGCGTAGGCAAGGTGCTGTATGGTGAGGTCTGGGTCTGAGCGTAGGCAAGGTGCTGTATGGTGAGGTCTGGGTCTGAGTGTAGGCAAGGTGCTGTATGGTGAGGTCTGGGTCTGAGCGTAGGCAAGGTGCTGTATGGTGAGGTCTGGGTCTGAGCGTAGGCAAGGTGCTGTATGGTGAGGTCTGGGTCTGAGCGTAGGCAAGGTGCTGTATGGTGAGGTCTGGGTCTGAGTGTAGGCAAGGTGCTGTATGGTGAGGTCTGGGTCTGAGCGTAGGCAAGGTGCTGTATGGTGAGGTCTGGGTCTGAGCGTAGGCAAGGTGCTGTATGGTGAGGTCTGGGTCTGAGCGTAGGCAAGGTGCTGTATGGTGAGGTCTGGGTCTGAGTGTAGGCAAGGTGCTGTATGGTGAGGTCTGGGTCTGAGCGTAGGCAAGGTGCTGTATGGTGAGGTCTGGGTCTGAGCGTAGGCAAGGCATTGAAGTCGTTACTCTGTATATTTAGGCTGGGGTCATTTTTCTTTTATGTATATCTTTCCTGTACACAAGGAAGCTCAGTGAGGTGTTATTTCTTATTACTAAGATAGTCTAGGAAGGGTAATTTTTCATCTGACTTCCATTCAGCTTTAAAGTAGAATGTTCAGACTAGAGTGTTTGGGCTCTCAAGGAACCGAGAGAAAAGTCCCTACTGTATTTCCACCATGTAAATAACTCACGACATGATTTGGTGCTAATATATGGGTGACATATTTACACGTCGGAAGGATAGTTGGGGCCTTTCTGTTAATTCTTTGAGAGGCATAATGTGCTCTCCTGATCTTGCCTTACCTTGGCCAAACATCCCTTATGGCCAAGGGTAAGGCCCTTTAAGGCCCTCGTGCCTTAAAGGGCCACGAGGGCCTGGGGAAAGCTCGCAGAGCAAAGTTGTGTACCATACCCTGCCACAAGATAAGGAAATATTCAGAACTATGGCTATTTTAAAGTCTGCCTTCTCGTTTCTCCTTTGAACAGTTTCTTAATGTTGATTTTATTATGTTTGCTACTGCTTGGACTAGAAGGCCTGTTGAATGTGACATAAGAAGCACCCTCCTCTAGTCGAAGGAGAGGACCTGAAGTTCAGCTGTTCACAGTGGCTTCATGAAACATGTATTTACAGTGCAGGCTGCAGAATTTAAAAGGCAACATGCGTTGATGTCGGATGAGTGATAAATGCATGTTCAATCTGGTATGGATGGATCAATTGGCTCATTAGTTCTGGATAAGGAAAAAATGTGCATTGGACGCTCAGCACTCTCAATGGTCCGGGGAGTTCAAGAGAGCCTTGTGGGAGAACATAACATTGGTTGTGGGAGAACATAACATTGGGTTGTGGGAGAACATAACATTGGTTGTGGGAGAACATAACATTGGTTGTGGGAGAACATAACATTGGGTTGTGGGAGAACATAACATTGGTTGTGGGAGAACATAACATTGGGTTGTGGGAAAATATAACATTGGATTGTGGGAGAACATAACATTGGGTTGTGGGAGAACATAACATTGGGTTGTGGGAGAACATAACATTGGGTTGTGGGAGAACATAACATTGGGTTGTGGGAAAATATAACATTGGGTTGTGGGAGAACATAACATTGGTTGTGGGAGAACATAACATTGGGTTGTGGGAAAATATAACATTAGGTTGTGGGAGAACATAACATTGGTTGTGGGAGAACATAACATTGGGTTGTGGGAGAACATAACATTGGGTTGTGGGAAAATATAACATTGGGTTGTGGGAGAACATAACATTGGTTGTGGGAGAACATAACATTGGGTTGTGGGAAAATATAACATTGGGTTGTGGGAGAACATAACATTGGTTGTGGGAGAACATAACATTGGGTTGTGGGAGAACATAACATTGGTTGTGGGAGAACATAACATTGGGTTGTGGGAAAATATAACATTGGGTTGTGGGAGAACATAACATTGGTTGTGGGAGAACATAACATTGGGTTGTGGGAAAATATAACATTGGGTTGTGGGAGAACATAACATTGGTTGTGGGAAAATATAACATTGGGTTGTGGGAGAACATAACATTGGGTTGTGGGAGAACATAACATTGGGTTGTGGGAGAACATAACATTGGTTGTGGGAGAACATAACATTGGGTTGTGGGAAAATATAACATTGGGTTGTGGGAGAACATAACATTGGGTTGTGGGAGAACATAACATTGGGTTGTGGGAGAACATAACATTGGGTTGTGGGAGAACATAACATTGGTTGTGGGAGAACATAACATTGGTTGTGGGAGAACATAACATTGGGTTGTGGGAGAACATAACATTGGTGTTTGAGAATTACATTCTTGCAAAGCCATTAACAAGCATAGCGTTTCGGGCAGGTCCTTAATCTAACTGATAAAAGTAAAAGTAATCATAGGTATATTATAGCAGAATTTGAGTTGAGCATAATAACTAGAATATAAATTGATATAATTGATTATACTGGTGAAGCTGCATGCCTTAAGTACCAATTAAGTACTCACCCGATTACGTCATAATTGGGCGCAAAATACAGTGAGAGTTTGGAACACAAAATAAGAAACTATGTAGATGAAATTAGGCACTTTTTGGTTTTACTTTTAAATAAAGCATTGGTTGAAATTTTTTTCAAAATTGTCTTTCTAATTCTTCTTTATGTCATCTCTTTCTCCTCTTTGTCTTTCCCTCACTTGCACGCTCTGTCATCGGGGTGTTACTTTCTCCTCCCTTCACTTTCCATGGTCCCTCTCCACGCCACCGTGGCCAGAATGTTCCCCTTGTTTCCTCTGTGTTTACTCTCCCGCTGCGTTGGATTTCCCCAGAACGGCGTTGCTCACGAGATTAAAGACTCTAAATTGCGTCTCTTGCTTTTTGTAGAGAAAGGAAAGTTTTAAACGCTGGCCGTGCAGGGCCGACAAGAAGTGCCGTAGCCCGCCCAGGTGATCACAGTGCATGACTCCTTGGCTTGGAGATGAGACCTAGATGGGTGGTGGTGGTGGGGGGAAGAGGTGATGGGGACGAGGGGGAGTGATGGGGGACGTTAGTGGGGTGTATTAGTGTGAGTGTAGCGGGGTGCGAGAGCTCAGTGTGTGCTGGGTAGTGTGCGAGAGAGGCAGGGTGTAGGAGCAGCACCCTCCCGTCACACACCTCACGGGACCTCTCTGCTTGGCACAGGCTGCGTTGATAAATGTGAACTGACGTTGGCCGACGGTAAGCATCGGTGACGTCTTTCCTTTCTTCCTCTACACCAGAGAATTGATAAACCGAGATCAAAGAAAAGATCTGGATAAATATTGCTTTTGAAATATTTTCACATTAGGCTTGGCTGCATGGTTCAACCCATCCTCCTGAAATGCTAGTACTTTTTGTACTATTTTTTTTAAAAGCTCGGAAAAATAAGCTAAAACCAAACTAAATATTCCTAGACCTAGTATAGCACATATTTGTACTATATTAAGTTAAATATTGCGAATATTAGGCCTAGGAGAGATTAGGCCTTATATTTATGTTTTCAATTAATAATACTAAAATTATTATCCAGATTCAATAATACTAAAATCGACTTTCTGTAGACGAAATATTTGTATTTTCGACCACATAGTTACTGTAATTATTTCCATTGTATGAGGATCGTATGGGTAGGGCGGGTAAAGTTTGTCTTAGGCTGTGTTAAATGTCGGGTTTCGTTAGTTAAAATGGGAGTAGGGCTGAGGTCGGCTATATTACACCTGCCTAAGCTAGATTGGATGATGATAGTCCAATTACAGATTGTAGTTGTTTAAGATTTAGCTACTGGCAACAAAATGTTCCAAGTAGCACGGGCAATGGTGAGCCCGTAGTGGACTTACCTGGCACAGGAGCGGGGCTGTAACTTCCAATTAGGGGGGTATGTTGTTGTTGTTGTTATAGATTCAGCTACTCGGAAACAAGTTCCAAGTAGCACGAGCTATGGTGAGCCCGTAACTTACCTGGCACAGGAGCAGGGCAAGAAGCACGGGCTATGGTTAGTTAGCCTCGTGGACGGGAGATGTCTCCGGTGTAGGGGGGTAGGTGAGGCCATTATATGTAGGGTTTGATGAAACCTAGGCAAGTTTTGATGGTGGGTTGTGGTACACGGCATTGTGATCACGGCCTAGCCTCGACGGCCAGGGGAAGGTGACCAGTACGACTTGTCGTGCAGGGGGAAGGGGGGTGACCAGTACGACTTGTCGTGCAGGGGGGAGGGGGGGGGGGTGACCAGTACGACTTGTCGTGCAGGGGGGGAAGGGGGAGGTGACCAGTACGACTTGTCGTGCAGGGGGGAGGGGGGGGGGGTGACCAGTACGACTTGTCGTGCAGGGGGGAGGGTGGTGACCAGTACGACTTGTCGTGCAGGGGGGGAAGGGGGAGGTGACCAGTACGACTTGTCGTGCAGGGGAAGGGGGGGGGGTGACCAGTACGACTTGTCGTGCAAGGGGGAGGGGGGATGACCAGTACGACTTGTCGTGCAGGGGAGAGGGGGGGGTGACCAGTACGACTTATCGTGCAGGGGGAGGGGGGGTGACTACTACGACTTGTCGTGCAGGGGGGAGGGGGGGGGGTGACCAGTACGACTTGTCGTGCAGGGGGAGGGGGGTGACCAGTACGACTTGTCGTGCAGGGGGGAGGGGGTGACCAGTACGACTTGTCGTGCAGGGGGGAGGGGGGTGACCAGTACGACTTATCGTGCAGGGGGAGGGGGGATGACCAGTACGACTTGTCGTGCAGGGGAGAGGGGGGGTGACCAGTACGACTTATCGTGCAGGGGGGGGGGGGAGGGGGGTGACTAGTACGACTTGTCGTGCAGGGGGGAGGGGGGGGTGTCGGGGGGGGGTGACCAGTACGACTTGTCGTGCAGGGGGTGACCAGTACGACTTGTCGTGCAGGGGGTGACCAGTACGACTTGTCGTGCAGGGGGTGACCAGTACGACTTGTCGTGCAGGGGGGAGGGGGTGACCAGTACGACTTGTCGTGCAGGGGGGAGGGGGTGACCAGTACGACTTATCGTGCAGGGGGAGGGGGGGGGTGACCAGTACGACTTATCGTGTAGGGGGGGGGGGGGGGTGACCAGTACGACTTGTCGTGCAGGGGGGGGGGAGGGGGGGGGTGACCAGTACGACTTGTCGTGCAGGGGGAGGGGGGGTGACCAGTACGACTTGTCGTGCAGGGGGGAGGGGGGTGACCAGTACGACTTGTCGTGCAGGGGGAGGGGGGGGTGACCAGTACGACTTGTCGTGCAGGGGGAAGGGGGGTGACCAGTACGACTTGTCGTGCAGGGGAAGGGGGGGTTGACCAGTACGACTTGTCGTGCAGGGGGAGGGGGGTGACCAGTACGACTTGTGCAGGGGAAGGGGGGTGACCAGTACGACTTGTCGTGCAGGGGGGAGGGGGGGGTGACCAGTACGACTTGTCGTGCAGGGGGGAGGGGGAGGTGACCAGTACGACTTGTCGTGCAGGGGGGAGGGGGGGGGTGACCAGTACGACTTGTCGTGCAGGGGGGAGGGGGGGGTGACCAGTACGACTTGTCGTGCAGGGGGGGAAGGGGGAGGTGACCAGTACGACTTGTCGTGCAGGGGAAGGGGGGGGGTGACCAGTACGACTTGTCGTGCAGGGGGGAGGGGGGATGACCAGTACGACTTGTCGTGCAGGGGAGAGGGGGGGGGTGACCAGTACGACTTATCGTGCAGGGGGAGGGGGGGTGACTACTACGACTTGTCGTGCAGGGGGGAGGGGGGGGGGTGACCAGTACGACTTGTCGTGCAGGGGGGAGGGGGTGACCAGTACGACTTGTCGTGCAGGGGGGAGGGGGTGACCAGTACGACTTGTCGTGCAGGGGGGAGGGGGGTGACCAGTACGACTTATCGTGCAGGGGGAGGGGGGGATGACCAGTACGACTTGTCGTGCAGGGGAGAGGGGGGTGACCAGTACGACTTATCGTGCAGGGGGGGGGGGGGGGGGTGACTAGTACGACTTGTCGTGCAGGGGGGAGGGGGGGGTGACCAGTACGACTTGTCGTGCAGGGGGTGACCAGTACGACTTGTCGTGCAGGAGGACTTGTCGTGCAGGGGGGAGGGGGGTGACCAGTACGACTTGTCGTGCAGGGGGGAGGGGGTGACCAGTACGACTTATCGTGCAGGGGGAGGGGGGGATGACCAGTACGACTTATCGTGTAGGGGGGAGGGGGGTGACCAGTACGACTTGTCGTGCAGGGGGGAGGGGGGGGGGTGACCAGTACGACTTGTCGTGCAGGGGGGAGGGGGGGGTGACCAGTACGACTTGTCGTGCAGGGGGGAGGGGGGTGACCAGTACGACTTGTCGTGCAGGGGGAGGGGGGGTGACCAGTACGACTTGTCGTGCAGGGGGAAGGGGGGTGACCAGTACGACTTGTCGTGCAGGGGAAGGGGGGGTTGACCAGTACGACTTGTCGTGCAGGGGGAGGGGGGTGACCAGTACGACTTGTGCAGGGGAAGTGGGGTGACCAGTACGACTTGTCGTGCAGGGGGAGGGGGGTGACCAGTACGACTTGTCGTGCAAGGGGGAAGGGGGTGACCAGTACGACTTGTCGTGCAGGGGGAGGGGGGGTGACCAGTACGACTTGTCGTGCAGGGGGAGGGGGGGTGACCAGTACGACTTGTCGTGCAGGGGGAGGGGGGGACCAGTACGACGTCCCCTGGGGAGTCAGCGCTGCTTAAATTTGGGTTTAAGGAAATTTTCAAGGTATTAGTCATGTCCTCATGGTATAACCACGTCGCCATTGTATAACCGCGTCCCCATGGTATTACTGTGTTCCATGTTATTATCATGTCCCATTGGTATAACCATGTCCGCACCGTATAACCATATCTCCACGGTATAACCATGTTCATAGGGCACTCATGTCCCCATTGTATAAACCTTTCCTCTTGGATCCTCATGGGCGCCTGACAGCTGAGTGGACAGCGCTTCGGATTCGTAGTCCTGAGGTTCCGGGTTCGATCCCTGGTGGAGGCGGAGACAAATGGGCAAAACTGTTTCTTTCACCCTGATATACCTGTTCACCTAGTAGTAAATAGGTATATGGGCGTTAGACAGCTGCTACGGGCTGCTTCCTGGGTGGGGGGGAGGTAACAAAAAGGAGGCCTGGTCAAGGACCGGGCCGCGGGAACCCCAAGCCCCGAAATCGTCTCAAGATAACCTCAAGAAGATGGTATAACTATGTCCCATAATATAACCATGTCTACACGGTATAACCATGTCCCCATGGTATAACCATACCTACAAGGTATAAACTCATGGTATGTCCTCATGGTATAACCATATATCAGCAGAATAATCATGTTCCCTGTTACGAACCCTATCTCTAGTATGCAATATTTTGGGTACAGAGAGTTTTATGTAACAATTTAACAAGATAGAGAATTATATTTACCTGAGGGCCACTATTACTAGTGGTCTAGACGAGGACAGGAAGACGGCGGCTTGTCAAAGGTCCCCCCAAAATATCAAAACAAGGGTGTAAATATTTGTTCATACGAGGCTGCTGGCAGACCGTAGTTCGCCGAGATCCCTCCGCCCAAAGAAGTAGTGCCTACAGTCATGCGTTTATGTATTCCCAGAAAAATTTGTATAAATGTTTTGTAAATGGAACCTGGACTTTTTTTATATGGCACATTAGTAATGTAAAATGGAGAATATTTAGAGATTAATCAGGGATGATTGCACATTGGGCAAATATGCCCAGCACCGCAGGCCATAAGTTCCAAATATGCAAAAAAAAATATGCAATAAATGAAAACTAGTTTGATTTCACTCAAACTTTTTTGACGAGTTGTATATGAAAAGGGTTTCATTTGGTCAAAGTCTCAGTATCGTAGCGTAAATAGGAAGGGAGAACAAAAATATTGAATTATGTGGTAACATTTTTCCAAAATGGTCAAAAATTAACATCAAACACAAGTGTCAACTGAAATCATGTCTATGACTCTCAGCTATCACAATAGCATATATTAAAAAATAATAATAATTAGTTTTATAAACAAAATTAAGTTAAACAAATTATTTTTGTTTTGTTTTTTCAATTTTATATTTCTTATTTGTTTATCTGACGATTTGCATGAAACTTATACAGCTGACTGCACGTAAGCCAATTTTGTAAGGTAAGGCAATTCTGTAAGGGTGCCAATTCTGGAGGAAATTGGTTGATGTCAACCTCAACAGATGGCAGCACCTTTGATTTTAATTTTTAATGATTTATTTTTCAAGTAACATAAACGGAGTCCCTACTCTTTCATTTTTACTAAATGTACATGAAACTTACAACTTATATGTAAAGTTTATGTCTCTAACATCTGATGTCAGCGTTTTATCATAAGTTCATTTATTGATTTTATAATTGCAATAAACATGATATATTTGCATAATTTTTTTGGGGGAACTTTGACTATTTGTATTAGTAAAACTAAAAATATTTTGGAAAATCCGCGGCATCAGATCCTTTATTATATGCTAATGTGTCAGAAAAGTGTCATAGAATGATGATATTTGAAACTTGTGGTTGTAGGAACTTAGTGAAAATGTGTAAAATTCGTTTAAAAAAAATTAAATCTCCCTTTCTATTTAGGCTGCAGCACTGAAACTTGGAACAATTGCAGCCCTTTTCATATGCAACTAGTTAAAAAAGATTTGTTGACATTGTTCAATGTTTAATAAACTAACTCGTGGCTCCTTAAAGGGACGGAAGGAACAGGGAGTCTTTATGTAGGCGATGAGTCACAATAACGTGGCTGAAGTATGTTGACCAGACCACACACTAGAAGGTGAAGGGACGACGACGTTTCGGTCCGTCCTGGACCATTCTCGAAACGTCGTCGTCCCTTCACCTTCTAGGGAGTCTTTAGTGCGTAGACGGTATAATGATGGAAGGAAGACGTGTTGGCCAGTCCCTCATGGGGTTTAGAGCTTATCTGGCACTCCGCCACAGCTCCAGAAAATGCACAATTTACATATAATTAACGTGCTAGAGATCATAGGGTATTTTAGAGAAACTATAGTTGGAATATAGAGAGTCGAGTTTTTTTTTTATTATATTTCTATGGGTCTCTGACAATAATCTTGTCTGAGTGGATAGTCCTTAAAACTTAAGATTACCAGACTAAGGTGTCCAGGTTGAATATACAGTTTTATTTGGTGTGACGCTAAGAGATTCGTTTCGTTAACTCTTGTTAACATTGTCATAGGTACAGTTTGAATGATTACAAGGTTGTTGTTGTTGTTTTAGATTCAGCTACTTGGAACTTTTGTTCCAAGTAGCAAGGGCTATGGTGAGCCCGTAGTGGACTTACCTGGCACAGGAGCGGGGCTGTATGATTACAAGAGTGATTGATTGAAGATTAATCCACCTAAGAGGTGCCACGGGCATAAATAGCTCGTAAGTGGTAGATTTTTATATTTTTTTTAGTAAATGTATACAGTGTGCTGAGGTCGCATTTAATCGTCAGGCTGCTAACGCTGGCTAACGCGGGGGAGGATACTGCTTGACAGTCTTTATGAGGGTGTCCAGCTGCTGAACACCTTTCTTGACCAGAAGAGTGGCTGTGTTGATGGCTTCAGGGTGACCACTGCAAGATTCAGGGACTCTTCTAAGGTCGTTGGTTGCTTCACATTCCAGGAGATAGTGAAGTAGTGGCTTTTCTGTGACAGTGTGGCAGAAGATGCACTCTCTCTGTCTGTGTTCACCAATCTCCCAGATGCATCTGTAACCTAGACGTAGTCTATATAACCTAACTGCTATTTCCCTGTGGATTCCTTTTGGGATATTTAAACTTTCTAATTTGGTTGCCTGAAGATACCATGTTGCAGAGGGCGAACCTTCTGCTACTCTCTGGTGCAGGTAGGCTTTGTTGAGGTGTGAGAGGTTTTTTGGTGATGATGTTTTTTATGTTCTCTAGGCTGGGATGAATTGTTTTATGTATCACTGGATGACGAGTTGCCAATTTAGCAATTTCATCAACTTTTTCATTTAATGGAATTCCAACATGGGATGGGATCCAGTTTAGGGTGATGTTGAGTCACCAAATTCACAAATTCGAGGGTAAAATCCTGGGTAGGATATTCGTTTCAAAACACTCCATGTACAAATTGCTCAAAACAGGGGAGAGAGTTACCCATCGCCGTGCCAAATGTTTGTTTATAAAATGAATCATTAAAACTGAAATAGTTATCTTTAATGCACAGTTTTATGAGCTCAACAATGGTGTTAGTAGGAAAAGTTAAGTTATATTTAGGGAGATGATTACGTAAGAACGTCAACAGATCATCAACAGGAACCTTAGTGAACAGAGCCGTCACACCAAAACTCTCAAGTTTAAAATCAAAATTTAATCTCAAACCAGACAACTTGTTAACCAAGTCCAAGTTGTTTGTTATGTGTGAGATGGAAATGGAACCTATTACCCGGGACAAGATTTGGACAAGCCATTTGGAAAGTCTATATGCCACATATCCAACAGAACTAATAATAGGTCTTGCAGGATTATTGCGTTTGTGTGTTTTAATAAGACCATATAAATATGTTAGGGAAGGGGAACGACTTGAAAACTTAGGAATCAACTCCTTGCTCAAGAACAATAAGTTGTTTCCTAAGTTTTTAAGTCGTTCCCCTTCCCATCATATTCTTGTTAGAGGGAGGTTATTATGTCTCCCCCAACAACGTTTCTCCAACTACATTCCTTCTCCCAGTACTACCCCCTCCCCCATTAACTACCTCCCCCCCCAACCCTCCTCCCATAAGTTCCTCCATGTACTGGTGGCCAAGGCCACGCCCCCAAGGCCACCAGTATTTGTCCCTGCATTAAACTCCACCTGGGACCCTCCACCTGGGGACCCTCCACCTGGGGACCCTCCACCTGGGGACCCTCCACCTGGGACCCTCCACCTGGGGACCCTCCACCTGGGGACCCTCCACCTGGGAACCCTCCACCTGGGGACCCTCCACCTGGGGCCCTCCACCTGGGACCCTCCACCTGGGGACCCTCCACCTGGGGGCCCTCCACCTGGGGGCCCTCCATCTGGGGACCCTACACCTGGGGGCCCTCCACCTGGGGGCCCTCCACCTGGGACCCTCCACCTGGGGGCCCTCCACCTGGGGACCCTCCACCTGGGGACCCTCCACCTGGGGGCCCTCCTCCTGGGGCCCTCCACGTGGGGGCCCTCCACCAGGGGACCCTCCACCAGGGGACCCTCCACCTGGGGGCCCTCCACCTGGGGACCCTCCACCTGGGGGCCCTCCACCTGGGGACCCTCCACCTGGGGACCCTCCACCTGGGGGCCCTCCATCTGGGGACCCTACACCTGGGGGCCCTCTACCTGGGGGCCCTCTACCTGGGACCCTCCACCTGGGACCCTCCACCTGGGGGCCCTCCACCTGGGGACCCTCCACCTGGGGGCCCTCCACCTGGGACCCTCTACCTGGGGGCCCTCCACCTGGGGACCCTCCACCTGGGGACCCTCCACCTGGGGGCCCTCCACCTGGGGCCCTCCACGTAGGGGCTCTCCACCAGGGGACCCTCCACCAGGGGACCCTCCACCAGGGGGCCCTTCACCTGGGGACCCTCCACCTGAGGACCCTCCACCTGGGACCCTCCACCTGGGGGCCCTCCACCTGGGGGCCCTCCACCAGGGGGCCCTCCACCTGGGGACCCTCCACCTGGGGGCCCTCCACCTGGGACCCTCCACCTGGGGGCCCTCCACCTGGGGACCCTCCACCTGGGGGGCCCTACACCAGGGGCCCTCCACGTGGGTACCCTCCACCAGGGGGCCCTCCACCTGGGGACCCCTCCACCTGGGGACCCTCCACCTGAGGACCCTCCACCTGGGGCCCTCCACCAGGGGGCCCTCCACCTGGGGGCCCTCCACCTGGGGGCCCTCCACCTGGGGGCCCTCCACCTGGGGACCCTCCACCTGGGGACCCTCCACCTGGGGACCCTCCACCTGGGGGCCCTCCACCTGGGGGCCCTCCACCTGGGGCTTTCCACCTGGGGGCCCTCCACCTGGGGGCCCTCCACCTGGGGGCCCTCCACCTGGGACCCTCCACCTGGGGGCCCTCCACCTGGGGCCCTCCACCTGGGGGCCCTCCACCTGGGGGCCCTCCACCTGGGGACCCTCCACCTGGGGGCCCTCCACCTGGGGACCCTACACCAGGGGGCCCTACACCTGGGGGCCCTCCACCTGGGGCCCTCCACCTGGGGGCCCTCCACCTGGGGGCCCTACACCTGGGGCCCTCCACCTGGGGGCCCTCCACCTGGGGCCCTCCACCTGGGGACCCTCCACCTGGGGGCTCTCCACCTGGGGCCCTCCACCTGGGGCCCTCCACCTGGGACCCTCCACCTGGGGACCCTCCACCTGGGGGCCCTCCACCTGGGGCTCTCCACCTGGGGACCCTCCACCTGGGGACCCTCCACCTGGGGACCCTCCACCTGGGGACCCTCCACCTGGGGACCCTACACCTGGGGGCCCTACACCTGGGGGCCCTACACCTGGGGGCCCTACACCAGGGGGCCCTACACCTGGGGCTCTCCACCTGGGGGCCCTACACCTGGGGGCCCTACACCTGGGGGCCCTACACCAGGGGGCCCTACACCTGGGGGCCCTACACCTGGGGACCCTGGGGACCCTACACCTGGGGGCCCTACACCTGGGGCCCTACACCTGGGGGCTCTCCACCTGGGGGCCCTCCACCTGGGGGCCCTCCACCTGGGGCCCTCCACCTGCCGTAAGTGACGCGCCAGGGAACACCATAGTGTATACAGGAGCCCACAAGAGGTACTGGACAGTGTAATTGCCTGCCAAGTCTCTCTTTTAGAAGGACTTCTACCAATGGTGTTAAGTTATTTAACCGCGTATTTGGTTTGTAAGAGGCGCCAGCTTTCTCTCTCACTGAAGGGTTAATGTTAATGTGTGTGTATTCACCTAGTTGTATTCACCTAATTGTGCTTGCGGGGGTTGAGCTCCTGCTCTTTGGTCCCGCCTCTCAACCGTCAATCAACTGGTGTACAGATTCCTGAGCCTACTGGGCTCTATTATATCTACACTTGAAACTGTGTATGGAGTCAGCCTCCACCACATCACTGCCTAATGCATTCCATCTGTTAACTACTCTGACACTGAAAAAGTTCTTTCTAACGTCTCTGTGGCTCATGTGGGTACTCAGTTTCCACCTGTGACCCCTTGTTCGCGTACCACCAGTGTTAAACAGTTTATCTTTATCTACCCTGTTAATTCCTCTGAGAATTTTGTAGGTAGTGATCATGTCTTCCCTTACTCTCCTGTCTTCTAGTGTCGTGAGGTGCATTTCTCACAGCCTTTCTTCGTAACTCATGCCTCTTAGTTCTGGGACTATTCTAGTGGCATATCTCTGAACTTTTTCAAGCTTCGTCTTGTGCTTGACAAGGTACGGGCTCCATGCTGGGGCCGCATACTCCAGGATTGGTCTTACATATGTGGTGTACAAGGTTCTGAATGATTCCTTACTCAGATTCCCGAAAACAGTTCTGATGTTAGCCAGCCTCGCATACGCCGCAGATGTCATTCTTTTGATGTGGGCTTCAGGAGACAGGTTTGGTGTGACATCAACTCCTAGATCCTTCTCTCTGTCAGTTTCATGAAGGACTTCATCTCCCATTCTTTATCCTGTGTCTGGCCTCCTGTTTCCACTGCCTAGTTTCATTACCTTACATTTACTCGGGTTGAACTTTAGTATCCATTTGTTGGACTATTCATGCAGTCTGTCTAGGTCATCTTGTATTCTCATAATGTCTTCCTCCGTCTTAATCCTCCTCATAATTTTTGCATCATCAGCAAACAATGAGAGGAATGATTGTATAGCATCTGGAAGATTATTTACATATATAAGAAACAGTATGGGTTCAAGGACTGACCCCTGCGGGACTCCACTGGTGACGTCTCGCCAATCTGAGACCTCGCCCCTCACAGTGACTCGCTGTCTTCTGTTGCTTAGGTACTCCCTAATCCAATCCTTCCCTTTCACTCCTGCCTGCATCTCCAGCTTTCGCTCTAGACTCTGGTGTGTGGCACTGTGTCAAAGGCTTTCTGGCAATCCAAAAATATGCAGTCTGCCCACCCTTCTCTTTCTTGTCTGATTCTTGTTGGTGTGTGTGTGTGTGTGTGTGTGTGTGTGTGTGTGTGTGTGTGTGTGTGTGTGTGTGTGTGTGTGTGTGTGTGTGTGTGTGTGTGTGTGTTGCACTGGGTGGTTATATATTAATTTGAGTACAAGTGTGGGGATAACCTTGACTACCTCACGTAACAACCCACCTGCTTGGTGTCCTCACACTCAAGACGTCCCTTTTTATGTCCTGCCTCATTGTGAGCTTCCTGTTTACATTTGTGTTCTCTCGTTTTCTTTCTACGACAGCCTGGAGCCAGATTCACGAAGCAGTTACGCAAGTACTTACGAACGTGTACATCTTTCCTCAATCTTTGACGGCTTTGGTTACATTTATTAAACAGTTTACAAGCATGAAAACTTCCCAATCAACTGTTGTTATTGTTATAAACAGCCTCCTGGTGCTTCGGAGCTCATTAACTGTTTAATAATTGGAAACAAAGTCGCCAAAGATTGAGAAAAGATGTACAGGTTCATAAGTGCTTGCGTAAGTGCTTTCGTGAATCTGGCCCCTGATCTAGTTAAACAGAAGATAAAGTTAAAGAAGATTCAGAGGTATGCCACCAAACAAGTCCCAGAACTGAGAGGTATGAGCTACGAGGAAAAGCTATGGGAGCTTAACCTCATGTCCCTGGAAGACAGAGGCGTAAGGGGAGACATGATGACCACCTAAAAAATTCTCAGAGGAATTGACAGGGTGGATAAAGACAAACTATTTAGCACGGATGGGACACGAACAAGGGGACTCGGGAAAAAAAAAGGTAGTTAGTAAACAGTTGATTGACAGTTGAGGGGCGGGCCGAAAGAGCAAAGCTCAACCCCCGCAAACCCAACTAGGTGAACACACAGGCAGAAACTTAGTACCCAAATGAGCCACAGAGACATTAGAAAGAATTTTGTAAGTGCCAGAGTAGTTAACAAATGGAATGCATTAGGCAGTGATGTGGTGGAGGCTGACTCCATACAGTTTCAAGTATAGATTTGATAGAGCCCAGTAGGCTCAAGAATTTAGTCACCAATTTTTTTTATTATTATTATTTTCTACCACAGACGTGGCCACCAATTGATTGACAGTTGAGAGGAGGAAAGCCTCCCGGCCTCTAAACCTTTTAACAATCTATCATGGTCAAACGGTTACCGTACTGGTTATGTTAGTGTGTGTGATGCAACTGGCTTTCTAAGGTTCGAATCCTTCTCGGAGAATCCTTCTGCACTTTGCATCTCCAGGCACATCTGTCCGCACTTGCTGCCTCCCAAGTGTTGATGTCGATGTTCAGCTGCTTGAGGTCGCGTTTGCTGGCGTCTTTGAAATGCAGCTGGAGTCCTCTGGTGGGTCTCTTTCTTGATGCCAGTTTTCCATATAAGAGGTCATTCGGTATGCGGCCATCTTCTATGTGTGTGTGACATATCCCAGCCATCGCATGCGTCTTTGCTTCAGGAGAGTGAACATTGAAGGGATTTCTGTTCTCTCGAGCACTGTTGGTGACGTTATCTCGCCACGTGATGTCAAGGATGCGTCTCAGGTTCCGCATGTGAAAGGTATTGAGCCGTTACTCCTGGCGAGAGCGCAGAGTCCAGGATTCCGAGCCGTAGAAAAGTATACTCACCACACATGCCATGTAGACTTGTGTCTTGGTGTGTACTCTCTGTTTGACATTTGGCCAAATGCGCTTTGTGAGCCTGGCCAGTGTTGTTGCTGTCTTCTCGATACACCTGTTGAGCTCAGTGTCTAAGGAAAGGGTGTCTAAGATTGTGGAGCCCAGGTACACAAACTATTGGACCGCCTCCAGCTCGTAGTCTGTGTTGCTTATACAGGGTAACTCATTGACATCTTGTCCCATCACCTGTGTCTTCTTCAGGCTAATTGTCAGGCCGAATGCGGAACAGGCTGCGGCAAAGCGGTTGAGTAGCTGCTGCAAGCCTTCTGCTGTGTGTGTGGTGATTGCTGCGTCGTCGGCGAAGAGGAACTCCCTGAAGATTCTCACCTGCACTTTCGTCTTTGCTCGGAGTCTGGATAGATTGAAGAGCTTTCCATCAGATCTTGTACGGAGATAGATGCACTCTGTGGTTGTTCCAAAGGCATGCTTGACGAGGATCGCGAAGATGATGCCGAACAGGGTTGGAGCAAGAACACACCCCTGTTTAACACCACTGTTGATGTTGAATGGTTGAGCCGTCATACACGACTGTCCCCTTCATGTCTTTGTTGAACGATTGTATCATGCTGAGTAGGGTGGGTGGGCGGGCAGCCAATTTTGGCCAAGATCTTGAGTCCGTCCCTGTTCACCAGGTCGAAGGCCTTTGTAAGGTCAATGAAGGCGATGTACAAGGATTTTCTCTGCTCCCTGCACTTTTCTTGAAGCTGTCTCGGGGAGAAAACCATGTCAGTGGTCGACCTCTCTGCTCGGAAACCACACTGTGACTCAGGGTACACTCTTTCAGCAAGAATCTGAAGCCTGACCAAGACGACCCTGACGAAGAGTTTGCCGACGACGCTGAGGAGGGATATGCCGCGATAGTTGTTGGCATCCCTTCTGTCACCATTATTTTTGTAGAGTGATGATGTTCGCGTCTCTCATGTCTTGTGGCACCGAGCCCTCCCTCCAGCACTGGCACAGAAGTTTATGAAACTCAGTTTTAAGTGTTCCACGAGCGCACTTGAGAACTTCACGTGGAATCCCGATGTCTCTTGGGGCCTTCCCTGAGGAAAGTGAATCCAGTGCTTTCTCAACTTCTTCCACAGTCGGTTCAAGGTCAAGTTCTTGATTGCATCCAGGACCCTTACGCTGACCAAGTTCTCTCTGGAGTAGAGTTTGGAGTAATGTTCTACCCAGCGATTCATCTGTTGCTCACGTTCTTCAATGATCTCTCCAGTGGCTGACTTCAGAGGAGCCGTCCTGTTTTGTGTAGGACCTGATGCCTGTTTACATGTATATATATATATATGTCTATATATATATATATATATTTTATTTATGCCTTGGGTGGCGGGTCATGATGGCGTAGACTGCGAGTAAAGCCGACGTTATTTTTAAGAGGACGGGTTGTTGGGGGTGAGGGTAGGGGGAGGAGGTGGGGGTTAGATGCTGTGTACTTGAATCACATGTTGAAAAGTGGGCCAGTCTCCTTTGTGTAATACGCGCTCTCCCTCCCTTGCTAACTGTCTCGCTGCCTCCCCCCTCTACTTCCTCCCTCTCCCTCTCCCCCATTGTTCCATCCACCACAATAGTACCGCTCAATCACCACCCGTCCCGTTCTGGCGGTGAAAGTTACACTATATACGAATCTTGTTTTGTTAAAAAAATTTAAATAAATGGAAGGGTAATTGCTAATTTAAAAGAAGGTGGGCGCTGTTGTAGGGGAAGGTGTGTACTCACTTGGTTGTGCTTGCGGGGGTTGAGCTTCGGCTCTTTGGTCCCGCCTCTCAACTGTAAATCAACTGGTGTACAGATTCCTGTACAGGGTAGGCATGGGTAGTGTTCCACAGCCCTTCAGTGGGTAGTGTTCCACGCCCTTCAGTGGGTAGTGTTCCAGGCCCTTCAGTGGGTAGTGTTCCATGCCCTTCAGTGGGTAGTGTTCCACGGCCTTCAGTGG